TGAGTAAAGAATAGAGGAGAATAGAAGAGAAAAGATTTGTTGAATTTGGGTCTGCTGTAGAAAAGAAGTCCTGGACTCGCAGCACACACCTCTACCTGGGCAGCGGCTCACCTGAGGAAGGACGGGTGGAAATACATCCTTGCTCTATTCAAAGAGGCACCCGGCATGTGGAGGCCTSCGAGTTCTTACCGGGAGTTCACTCCTGTCTGCTCTCTGATTTGGTGTAAATCATTTCAGCCATTTCATYGTCCTCATGTATAAAACAATGACAATGAACTCGCTTTTGTAAAGATAACCAAAGTTGCAATGACAGTTAAGTTTCTTTGATGAGCGACGACTTCAAGACTGGCTGCAACTCCAATTTCCCGGCCGTTCCTTGGGAGTTGTTACAAGGGGGGTGTATTTTCACTCCGCAGATGACAACAGGGCTTTCAGATCAGAAACGGCAGTGATAGATTGAAAAATAGTTTTTATTCATTAAAAAAACAGCACAACAAAACTCAAAAACTCTCTTACTTCAACTTAGTATGAAAATATTCTTCCCCAGAAGACCAAGGATAATTTACGCGTATGTAAAAATGAATAATGAAAAACAAGTGAAATCTGATCATCTCTTTCGGGCTTTTGCCAGTGCAGATGCTGTGCTTATGAGGATATAATTGCACTTGCAGCACATAATTATCTTATTTATAAGAAATAATTATCTGATGCAAAAATCCAACCCAATAATGATTTTAATTTGGTAGYTGCAGACAGTTGGCTGAAGTGAACTGCACTGAACTAGCATCCCTAGGACAGGAAAAAAGTGCAATTTCTGGCAAGAAAACCATAAATAATTCACTAAGCTGTTCTACGCCCTCACAGCAGGCAGGTTGCAGCATATGTGCTAATGATGCTACGGAGCAGTCATTAGGCTTAAGGAGCCTCTGCAACTGCCTAAAACCCCCTCAGCCYCCTCTGCAACCTGCAGAATTAAGATGGACACGTCATGAACTATCAGCAGAGGGGCCAGAGACACAGAATCAGCTTTATGTGCAGTCAGGAGCAAGTAAAAGAAAAAGAAACTGAATAAAAAAACCTCTGCAGCTCTACTACACAGATGAAAATGACAGTTAATATCATAATATCTTTGCATGGATGCACTGGATTTCAGACACACTGCTAGTGAAATAGCAGCAACTGAGCAACAGATGAGTAAGATCTGTCCTGAACCAAGCTCTGGCTCTTTCCTCCAATTCCAGGAGCTCTGCTGACATGAAGCAACAGCGTCCACAAGGCAGGGATTCTAATTCATGTTCAATTTCCACAGCTCAGACTCGCTAGCTTAATATGAATAGAAAAAGCCTCTTCCTATTCATGCTTGTGAGTACCTGCACGTTTCATACTAGGTGCACAAAAATAATTACTAATAAACACATACCCAAAATTTGCTCCAAAGAAATTAAAATACTCATAATGAAAAAGTATCCTCTGGGATGCTGAGGGAGTAGGAAGCACTACTGAAAGGATGCTTCCAGCTGGATCACCAGCTAAAGGGCAATTCTTTCCATTTGAAGCTCAATGGAATTAGGTAGTAATTTATAAATGGCAAAAAATATGCCATAACCTCTTCCTGTTTGGCCCGGCGTTTAAAAATACAGAGCACTGATGACTACTTAGGACATATAAATACYTTCTATTCCTTTGACCTTTCTGGTCTCTCTGGGGGAAGAAACTGAGCAGGATTCTCCCTTGCAGCCACTGTGAGCCAAGAAGGGGGAGGGCAGYGCGCTGAAGCAGCTGCTTCCTTTCAAACACTCGTGTGACCCACGGTTCACACGTTTCATACATTTCATATTTTCATATTCATAACATGTTAAGTGTTTTCATACACCAGGAAATAGGAATTTCTCCTCCTGACATTGCTCTCTTCCCCCGACTGAGGTATTTCACACTCAAATTGCATCTTTGATGCTGTCGGCCAAGGTGGAGCATTGCAGGGGCAGACGGTGGGACAATTGGCTTAATGTCATTAATTGCTTTAAACTTGGTCCTTACTCCTAAACTTTCCTGATGTATGGACTGCGTAACTCCTCCATTTCTTGATTTATCTTGTATAAATTTATTTATTTTTAATTGTTTACCTTTTTTTTGAGAGCAGTCAGGCAAGAGGATCCCGTATAAAACTTATCACAAGGATTAGAAATGACAAGGTATTTGTACTTCTTTGCTGTACCCTGACCAAATTCTCTCTCTTGTGGAAAAGGGAACTGCACAATCATGATCTCTGTAGAGAAAATTTTAATGATCACTGTAACAAAGCTGTATGGGTCAAACAGTGCTAAAAAAGGAAAATGAGGGGGAAAAAAAGGGCACGTGTTTGTACGTGCAAGTTAGTAAAAGAAAACATCTTCCTCAAGAATTTTAAAATACCTGCTAGGGAATGTTGACTTTTCCTAAGGGCAGGCTTGGATGGTTGCAGGCTGACATAATATAAGCACTTTCACCCTGAAGAAACAGGTCACCTGCCTTGTTCACTTGAGCAAAACAAGYGGAAGACGACACTAAGAAGCGCAGATTACGGAACCTTTCAGGAAATCAACTGGAACACGGTCAATTAAAACAGAACAAAGAAAAGTTACAAGTAGCGGCATGTATTTTATCTTCCTCTAGGTCCCTTGTCGACYTGTTTCATTCTAGAGTAATATCCTCCATTTTGGAACATTTTCTTTTCATAAACAATAGCCCCAAACTGTAAAAATGGATTAATCCAAAAGGATAACGACTGCCAAAGAAGTATCTCTTTTCCTCTCTTAGCCTTCAGCCTTGATTTAATTTATAATTAACAAGTAAAACAATTTTGGAACACAGTAATTTTTACATTGGCAAAATGCCTCATGTACTTCACACTCCATTTGATTAACTAGCCATTTTGCTTTCCTGAAATCCTAGTTTATGACAGATATTCAGACTGCTACCAGATTTTCTGTAAATGATATTCTAATGCAGTTCAAATTGTTTTTAAAGAAAGATGAAAAATCTGGCATTTATTGCCAGAATTTGCGTCTGGTGACGACAAATTTGGAAAAGTCTGGACATGGTCTTTAAAGGTGTCAGGATGAGGATCTACCAGACTTRCAAAAATAGAAGCTACCCCAATCTCCCTGAAAAATGTGTTCAAGAAGCTTTTCTGGAAGCAGTGAAAAGACTATGTTCTGCTTACTGCTACAATACTTTCAGCACTATCTTAAGATGGCACACTCCTTATTTTGCATACACGTCTAAGATTTTCTTGTGTCTAAGATTTGCTGAATTAGGCGAATTCGGGCGAAACAGCAACAGCTTTTAACCTGCCCAGYGAAGGGACTACCCTTCCTCACGGAAGAAGGCAGGTTGTGTCCTTGCCAGGCTGGAGGGATTCAATCYACGTATCAAAAGCAGAAGAAAGGCCTTGGTGCATTTAAACTTTGTGCCAAGGATCCACAAATACTGCAAAGGCCACTTCACAGTCCTACTGCAGCACTGGAACTGAAAATTTCACTTGTTCTTATAGTGCAAATTTACCTTGAAAATTTCAGAAGTGCACAAATGAAAACATTCAGAAGTGCACAAATGAAAACCTTTCCCCAAGAGCCTACCATACGCACTCACAACGACCACCCATGTTCTCTGCTAGCCTTACTTAGGGTGCCCTTCACACTGTCCCTGGTCAGCAGAGGGCTCTGATACAATGGACTAAAATCCTTYTTTTTGTTCTGAACAGAGTGCAGGAACACTACATATTATTTTTCTAGATACGCAATACCAGCCATTTTGCTCATGTGGGGAGAGAAAAAAGAAAGAAGGAATCTTTAGTGATAAGCACAGGCCTTTTAATAGGATCTTTTTCATGAAGACTAAATTAAAAAGATTAATGATACATGATGAGAAAATTCTCAAAGTGAACTAAATTTTGTCTAAACATGTTTCCCATTCGTATGTTTAATGTGTGTTTTTATTTGTGGTGATATTTCTACTGTTCTTGGTGAGAAATATGGACCCAGAAGATGGAAATACCTCAATATTACAGGAAGGGCACTAAATTGTAAAGCCAGCTCTGCACAAGCTTCCAGGCTGTCTTCATGGGATGAATCAAGACTCTAAACTCACGTAACGTTTTCAAACTCCTAAACCAAAGCTAGTAGCACTACCCGGCCAGTCCTGACCCATATCCCAATGGGTATATCGCAGTACACTTCACACTACAGCATCTTCTGTACTTCAGTTACCCTGGCGAGTAATGTAAAAGATTTAAACGCAGTCGGGGCAGTGGTTCAACACGCTTCCTGATGGAAGTTTGGAAGACAAGATGGGAGGAAAAAGCGGAAGGACTGATCAAGCTTTATCTGCCTTGAGAAAAAGAAAATGAAAAAAATAAGAAAAAAAGATGGCTTGACACTACAATAATTCTGTCTCCACTTTCTTAAAGAAAAAGTTTTGCTCTTGGTGGAACCAGCCAGTTCCTGATATTCCTAAACAGAGATGAGGGCAAAACAGCCTGAAAAGCAATAAAATAACATGGAAAGCATTTTTTGCATGACATTAAAATGAGAGATCCTGTCCCTGAACAGCTCCCACACAAGTGGATTCCCCTCATCTTTCCTAAACAGCTGCAGCTCAAACCAAGCCCCTCTCCCTCTGTGGTCAAYGGGGAGACACAGGAACCTGTTCCTGTTAAACCAGCACCACTGTGCCCAGTGGGATGTGCAGCTGTCTGGGGGCCTCTGTGTGGGCAGGTGTTGCTACGAGGCCGGCAGGTTGCTGCAGGCTCTGGCTCTCCGGCCCCACTGCCTTCTGCAGGACGTGTGCCCAACGCCCCGGCGCGCGGAGGCTTTGCCCTGCAGCGTCAGCCCCTGCTTGGCGACGCAGCGTTACGTTTCACAGGGAGTTATTCCGAGGAACAGGCGAGCATTTCATCTCAAGCAGATCACAGGCATGCTGCAAAACACAGGTCAGGTAAAAGCCATGCAAGTTGCACATACCTGGTCGTGTGGTGAGTCCTCTGTCTGCAGCTGGGCGGGCATCAACTGGCTCAACTGGGCACGYGCAGCAAAGAGAAAAAGCAAACACAAAATGTGAGCCAAAAACAGTAAGGTCAACAGCTCTTCTGCTGGGACAGGGCAGCAGAGCCATAGTGCATACACCAAGCTGTAAARGGCCACAGCTGGAGACCTGCCTCCAGTTAATCCTGGAAGGGAAGGCAAGGGATGGGCAAAACTTCAAAAGGAAAGTTTCACAGCTGGTGCATCCATTTTGTATCATAATTCTGGTTTCTACTTAAAATGAGAAACTATCAAGATCAAAGAATTTCTGTCTAAAGAGTGAACCTACTCCATTACATGCAAACCTTTCCAGTCTTCTGATTGGAATTGGCAGCAAGAACTGATGGGATGAGTTCTTGCAGCAAATCTTGATTAATGGTGACTCACGAACCCACTGGAGCTTGACTGCCTTTTCCATGCAATAGAGATTTTTTAAAACGCTAGCTAAGAGACTTGAAAATAGTACAGCACATTACAAAGTATAATCAATACTACATTCAGGTTGTCTGGTTTGTAGACAATAAATTCGTCTTCCAATTTTTGAAAGGGAAGCAAAGGAGAAATGAAACTTTCCAATCCAATTTGATGTCAATATGTAGTTTTAAAACCCTTGTATTAGCATACTGAGACCATACCAGCTTAAAACAGTCCTCCTCTTTTCTTTTTTTTTCTGATTTTTTTCTCTCTTTTGCTCCAATGCTTTTGTCTTTATTTGCCATTTGTTGGAAGTATCACTAAGAAATTAAATTTGGTAAACAAATTTATGTCACACTTGGAATTGCAGAATTTTCAGGTCAGACACTCACTCGCATTTCTAGATTCGAGCATCAGCCATGGAGTCAGCAGCAGGTGAGCTGCAGCCACGGGGCAAACGGAGCCACATCCCAGTTCCCACCACCTGCTCGGCAGGCCTGGGCAGTGACTCGGCCTTCCTGGCGGTCGGAGAAGCCTCCTGCCGGGGCTGCAGTCCCAGGGGCCGGCGGGGCCCTGCCGCCGCAGCGCTCGCCGTGCCCGGCCGGCCCCAGCGCGGCCCCTTCCCGCTGCGCGGGAGCAGCCCTGCAGCCCCTTCCCCTCACAGCGCTATGCAAAACAGCAACTTCCAACCTTAACAGTTTTGACTATTTTCTCAGTTAAGCCTTCCGGTAGGTTTCCCCAAGTAATTGCCACTGCTTTGGCAGGTCAGCAGTCATTTTCTGTGAAAAGGCCTGAAGGGAACAAACAAAAAAGCCCCAGTCCCTCCAAATCAGGTGTCTCTTCTGCCTCTGCAGCCCCTCCTTCACCACCCCGCCACGGCCACCTATCTCACCTATTTCCTAGACAGCTGAAGGGTTTTATATCCTTCTTGCGCAGCATTTTRCAGCCCTGTCGCAAGTCAGGGAGGCACACAGAGGATTGCAGCAAGACCTGAGAGAGCTGCTACATGTGGCAAGAAAACCAGGGGCAGCTGCAGGGAGGAAAGGCCGGGGGAAGCCCCTGTTCCAGGGCCCTCGGGCCAGCGTGGAGCTGGTGCAGGCACCAACAGTGAATAACCACTCCTGTTGCATGCTGTTCGGAGGAGGGCGCCTGTCCTGACGGGCACAGAGCCACCGAGTGACGGGAGCTGCGCAAGGCCCCACAACAGCTGTGGGATGGAAACGGGGAGCAACAGCTCYGGGGCCAAGGGTTTTCCAAGCTGCACAGTGACCCTGGGCATGAAGGTGCAGCAGCTCTCGGGGACGGCTGTAAGGAAGCCTGATTCCAGGAGAGCACCGGGCAGCCGCTTCCTGATGCATGTGCAAGTAATGGTTAGCTTGGACACTTGCCAGGGGCCTTCCTCCTCAGATCGTGGTGGCACAGAAGGGAGAAGCTTAAATTACGAATGAGCTCTGCTTTATGAACAAGCAAAACTCCAAAGACGTACACAAAAATTTCTTCAATTAATTATTCCATAAACAACATAAAGTACTCCTTTAGAAAAAGAATTCTCTACCATTTGCAGCGCAGATATGCAAGAACAACACATCTGTGGTACATTCCAGCCAAAACCAAACACAACTCATATGCTGGGACTGCACTGGCTCTGTAATCCTTTCCATGCCAGCAATTAAGGAGCTCTTTCTTAATTAAACACTCATTCTACGTTTGCACAAATCTGCCAACCTATCATCTCCCTTAACTCATCATCCTGTATTTTACAGAATGCTCACCCATAATTTGTTGGAACTTATTTTGCTTTTTTTTTTCCAATGAGAAGTTCAATTCTGAAATGTATTATATATGTGAATTCAAAAGACTCAGTTTAATTGTGGAAACACAGTAGATGTGACAGACCAGTTCTAAACTTACATCCAAGAGCTCTATCYTGCTCATATTAGAAAGACGCCAATTCTCAGGTAACTAAGTCAAAAAAAGGAATCACAAAAATAAACTCAGGACAGTCTGGTGTTCCTGCCCCAATGTACATACCTTCGTTTTCAGTATTGGCTGGAACAGAATCAACACCAAAGGGATGCCACGGCTGAAGATCATCCAGGCTGAACTCTCCATCCACTGGAAGAAGCTCAACCGTGGTCTTGGTTTCAGTTAGTGAAGGCATGAGCGCATCATTCCCGTAGCTGATTCTGGGTTCACTGATCATATTGGCCAAAACATCATCAGAGTAGTTTTGTTCTTTCTGAAGCAATTCATCTGCAAGGAAACAAACACAGAGACTAACTAAAAGAGCTTGAGGTTTTTAGGACCCCTTTCCAGGGAATCCTTTCCAGGACTATGATGGTAAAAATCTATCAATAGGATATTTTTTATGAAATCTATTTTTAATGAAAAGAAAAAAATTAAAGGTTTGGGATAGTGAAGAATTCTATGATAAGCACTGCTGCTAAAGTATTTTTTTTTTTTAATATCAACCAGAAATTTCCAAAACTGTTTTCTATTCATATGTCACCATAGATTTTGCTTGGTGAGTCATTGGATTTTTCACAACCACTTTTAGGAGAAGCATAAATCTATTCCCAACATATTGCTGTAAGTTAACATGCAAAAAGCATAGGAAAAGTGTCTTTACTCTTTCTCTTTGTCTTAAATGCTGATCATCATAACTCATCATTGCTTTTGAATTCTAAGTCTCTGTGACACTTACTTACATGAAATTGGGCTTACAAACTGAATCTGAAGAAACAATTGCTCTCTTAACATATATACTTTAGCCAAAATACTGAAGTAGTTCTTTTCCAATAATCTTAAGCAGTAAAAACCTGTGATACAAATATGTAGCATTAACCTAAGTTCAGGTTTATACAACAGGCTGAATACAACAGCTAGATAAAATATTCAAGTCTCTGCAAAACGTTTTATAAGCAACAAGCTGTGCAATGTTATGCAGGCTTTTTTTTTTCTTCCCCATTACAACAAGGTGAGAGTAATAATAGCATTTTTCAGGTTCACTGAATGTATATGATATATTGTCCAATTCAGTGTTGAAAGTAAACTAGGAGACTGTGTGCTTCGTTACTGTAGCTCCCCACGACAAYGTTCCTCCACTGAGCTCCCTTTTGCTGAGGTTTTTTCTTGGTAGAGGCCATGCACTATCTGCAGGTAACACTCAGGGAATGCGGCACACCAGGGTACCTCCAAGTAAGCAAACAAATGCCATGAGGAAGCTAGTAAGGAATTGCTAATAACATGCCAAGAAACTCAATACTCGGGCTTTAGAGTGCTAAACACTTTAGTCTGAAGACTGTACAAACTATGCTACTGAGTGCAAGMGCTTACACCCATGCATGGTGTGTACAAGCACGCACCAGCTGATGACACAAAAGCTTTCATTCTTTAGCCTTCTTCACCCAGAAACAGTCTTTTTTTTTTTTCACTCCATTAATGACCTCTCCTGCCTGTCACTGCATTGTGTCTCCATGTGAAACCTGCAGCAATTTGGGGTTGGGAAACCCCACGCTGCTGCTAGATCCTTTGGGCCACTCTCCAGGAGCTCATTTATTTCCCTTTATCAACAGCAAGGAACTGCACCTACATTTCCACACCTACCAGCTTTGAGGCTCCTAGTTGCTGTGAAGGTTCAATCTCACCTCAAGCACGGCGCAGTCCAGTCCTACCAAGACCTTCCGGTCCCTTCAGTAACATCTTTGAGTCCCATCTCTGAGCCCATCTCCAGGCTTTTTCGTGCAACCCACGAGCTAACGGGCAGCCCACAGCGCCGTGGAGGCTCCCACAGCCCCACACTGCCCCTCACGGAGCAGCTCCCCACTCAGAGGCACCTGCTCTGTGTCCTCATGAGGATAAATTATGGCCCTGCTCTGCAACTGGTCTCCTAAAGACCATCTCGTAGGGAGATAACTTAACATGGCTCTGTCTTCCCTTTTACTACTCTGAAGCCAACACATCAAAACATAACAAAGTTACTAGCTGAGCCTTGAGACCAATATGACATAAAGGTCTTAAATCCTGTCAAATGATGTCCCAAACCAGCCTTTCCTGTTTAAGCAGTACCTGCATTAGTAGACGGCAAGCCAATTTCACTGTTAATATGTATAGAAAAGTCAATTCTGTCATTTAATTCACTCATTAAAATGACTTACGGGGACAGCATAGCTAGTCTGTCTAATACTGAATTGTTTGTCCCGTTGTGTTCATTTTATTGAAAACAGTATTATTTTATAAGATACATAATAAATCCTTATCACGGAGGCAAGTTAATTTTTTTTTCTCCCCAGTGCACTTGCGTTAATCCTTAACCAAATTAAAGTGTCTCCTTACAGCAGGGAGAGGCAAAGCAATCCGATATTCTGAGCAGACATTGTATCCCATTACTGATGTTAATTCTTATTAGGCACAAAGGCAAGGCTGTAAAGGAAGGAGCGGGATATTAGTGGTCTGAGCAGGAAGGCTGTTTTCTGGAGTGCCAGCTGCCCAGCACGTACTCACAGCCAACACCATCCAAATGCACCACGATAAGAATGATCCTTTGAAATGCTCTGAATACCTCGCGATAAAAAGCCACCCTAAATCCCAGGAAAGCGATTTCCCTTGCCAGGAAAGCACGAGGCATCCTGGCAAGGGCCGAGTCCTTCGGCCAACAGCACTGGATGGGTTTGGGGCGCAGTTCCCCCCTTTGCTGCCAGGGCCGCCGCAGCAGCACGCAGCCGTGCCGGCGATGCCAAGTCCTTGAGCCCATCCACACGACCCGATCCCTGCCCTCCCGGCGCGCCGTTACCTGTGGGAAGGCTCCAGCCTGGGAAGGGCTGCGCGCTGCCGCCTGCGGACGGAGGCCGAGGGTGCCTGTCCTGGTGGGGCCGTGGGGCCGGCCCGGCGCYGGGCAGGAAGGCGAGCGCCACAGGCACCAGGGCCAAGGCCAAGGCGGTGGCRGGCAGGCCCCGCTGGGCCCCACAGGTCTGCGCAATGGGGCACAGGCCTAACATGGCGGTGGCGGCGGACGCGTCGGGACTACGGGGCGGCCGTGTGGGGTGCTTGGTGCCTCCGAACGCCGGGTGCCGTCACCAGGGCCCACAGGCCCCTTTGTGCCGCGCTCAGCTGCCGCCGGCCGCGCCGCACAATAGCTCGAGCGTGGCCGGACGGCGCTACAATGAGCGGATTATGATCACGGCCATTTTACAAGGCGGGAAACAATGGGCAAAGAGAAGCAGCCCGCGTGACGCGGCGGCCGGRCGGCCGAGCCGAGGGCCGGGGCTGCCGGCTCCCACCGGGGCCGCTACCGCCCCTCACACCGAGCGCGCGACCCACGTGTCACTCYGCGCCACGCTCAGAGCCGCTCACAAGGCAGCCCGCTCCAGGGTCTCGGGTCACTGACGCTAGCCGGCAAACTCCACCATCCGTTTCTCAGCACTGGTTGTGTTCACAGGGCTGCTGGCTGCTTCAGTCACCAGCTAGGCTAACGGGAAGCCACACAACCTCACCGTTAGTCACCAACTAGAGTGTTCCCTCCGTTTTTCATGGCTGCCAGTTCAATCCCTCCACCTCACAAAAGCCAGTTCTGCAAACAAGCAAGGAGCAAAGCTGAAGGCCAGCATGCACATTCAGAACTATTTCAAGGGTTTCCTTTGAACTGAAAAGGTCTTTGACATTAGGGGCTGAAAAYACACAGGTTGTTAGCTGCACTTCAGAATTTCATCTGCCAAACCAACAGGCCAAAATCCTATGACCATTTTCCCACAACAGACTTGCTCCTCTGCTSTTGTTGTTGCTTGGCCCACTCTGTCCTTGCAACACGCTGCAAGTGCTGCCATCACTTGCAGAAGAGTGAGGAGGATGTTTAAACTTATTGTCATTTGGAAATTGGGTGTTCAGAAGAAYCCATGGCCTTGGGAATGACCCACACGCAGCCTGGATCACAGATCTCCGGGCAGCTCCGGATCTGCTGTGCGGGTGCACAAGCACTTTACAAACATTTTTATTTACTGTAGTAGGTTATTATTTAAGATTTCCAAAGCAACTTAAAATACTTAACTTTTGGAGTTTATCGTGCTTTCTTTCTAAGAAGACTATCTACCAGATGAAAGCTCTGTTCTCCCTATCGTGTGCAGGAATTCTGAATTTACTTAAAAAGCAGCTTTAAAATTAGAAATTATATTTTTAGAAGTTCTGTAAATCAGCAACATATTTTTCTTTACTTTGAAGGTCTTATCACAGAGTCACAGCATGGTTGAGGTTGGAAGGGACCTCTAGAAATCATCCAGTCCAACCCCCCTGCTCCAGCAGGAACATCTAGAGCACGGGGCACAGGGTCCCATCCAGGTGGGTACACATGATTAGGAAGCAAAAACGTGCCCAAACCACCTCTTCTGTGCAGTAGTTAAGACACCCTCATATCACATGCCATAGCTCAATCTCAACATCAAATCTCCTTTCTAAAATCACATCTACATGATAGAATATACATTGATTTAACAAAATTTGTTTGGGAACCAACTCAGACAAATGATTACAAATGTGGACAGTCTTTCTGCCTCATAACGATTATCTTATCAGTTGCCATTCAGTCTGAACTGAACGCATGCTTTTTTCCAAAGTTGTGGTTGCTTTTGAGCATATGCTTTCAAAATGACAAAATAAAAAGTGTCAGCAACCTCCTGATTCTTCTCAAGAGCAGAGCTTGCAGTGAGGCTGAGTCACCACGATGGCTTCACTTGCACGTGCACGCGGATTTGCTTGTACCAGTCGCAGACTGCTTAAATCATACAGATGTTTTATGTTACAAATACTTTTTGCTGAGAACATCTACACGATAGTTTCCTGCAGTGCGCCTGGTAAATTGTAACGTGCTAGACACAGCGACTCCACAAGCTGTTTTCAGGCCCATGCCAATCTCAGGGACCAAATCGGGATGCAGCAGTTTCATATTCTCCAGTAGGAGCAGGTGTTCGAGGGAGCTGCTCTAGTGCAATGGAGTCAGGCCTTAAGTAAATTTGAATGGCTACATCTTGGCAACCATGCGAGTCCAAAAGACCAAACTGCGAAATATAAAAGTGAGGCTTCCCTAATGACTTTCCTATATATGTATGTATATATATGCATTTGCCTCTATATTCGGGCACAAATATGTGTGTATGCATGCACATATAAAATGACAGCATACCTCTAACCAATTGTTAGACTCATTTCACCTTCACAAGCTTGATGCAAAGACATGTTTTTCACTTCACTTTTCACTGAAATAC